CAAACAAGGAACAGCAGTATGCACTCGGGGGGCAAAACCCCGCCTCCCGGAGCAGAAATCTGCAGGTGAATGACCAAAGGCGAGGGAGATGTAACAGGCAGGACCGAGCCACACGGATCCTCAAAAGCCTTCTCCCAAACCACCCAAACTAAAACTAAAACCCTACCGCTACGTTCCATGAACTACCACGAAAACGCTCAGCGGGCTCTCAAACGCATTCCGTAGAAAGGCGGCCTCCATCCTTGACAGGGGCACTTTCATCAGCAGCCAGTCTTTGACACTCCAAGTTGGACATCCTGCCCGCAAGGGTCGCCACGAAGGTCTGCATGCAACCACGTAGCCACAACACCAAGTCGGGCACGATCTCCTCCAGAGAGCTGTAGTTCGACATGGCGTAGCATTCCTGTAACTGAAGCTGGCCACGGAATAGAAGGCATCTCTGGACCGACTGAGTGTCCTCCGTATCCCGAATCCCGGCCACGCTGTCAAACACGTGCCCGGCCACGACACCTGGAGCAAGCAACTTTTCCGTCACATCACTGGAGGGACGGACTATCACCATGCCATGCAGTTGCAGGGAAAGCTCTCCTCCGGGGCCAAAACAGGTTCGATCGCAAGTCTTGGCCCTCACCTGATCCATGATACTCTGAGCCTTGACATTGTACTCCAAGGGCTCCCAAACACCATGTCCCGCGTACAAGGTCTGGCACGCAACAGATTGCTGATCGACTTTGCTCGCAGTGCTTTGTTCATGCTTTGTAGACACGGCCGGACACCAAATCTCGCACTTTCCCAGGTTCCGATTCGCACCCATTTGCAATGGCTGTTCGCTCACATCCCATTCGCAACCATCTGGTATCCTTCTGCGTGGCGTTTTCCAATCAAGGCGATCGCCATGCAACTCATCCGCAATATAGTCTGAACACAATGTCCACTCGACTGACGCGTGGATTTGTTTCCAGGCATTTGTCGTGTCTGTATGGTCACCCAGTAGCAAGACCAGCAAAGCATCAGACGCGGCAGCATGATCGGAATGACAGGCCCCAGTAGTGCCCGAAGTCTGTTCATTGTCCTCACGTCTGGCGCATGTACAGAAGTCCGTATACAAGGGCAGCTTGAAGGTTTTAGTAAACACATCTTCGTATGAAGGCCACGCCAGCTGACCACATTGCATGCAGCGAGATCTGAAGCTGACGTCCTGGGAATGATCTGCATTGCACCGCTTCGGTGCAGCGTTGAGTGGAGCGCGTCGAGGCGTACCCTTCCCGACCATGGGCAATGAAGTGGGTACTGGGGCTTTGGCTATTTGGCCGCTCTTCGCCAATCGATCCAAAACCCTACATATATATATATACATATATATATATATGTATATATACATATATATATATATAATGCTCTCGGGTCCCGGGCCCCCACCCCCCCCCCCCCCCCCGCCACACCCACACCCTGTGGTACCCTGCCCTGTGCGGAAAGCGGTAGTTTCCCGCACCAGACATGAACTACAATGCACACTTATGAGCTTATGAGGGTTATAGCGATGGTGATGGTCGCAGCTGTTCTTTTGATGGTACTGATGGTGAAGATGACGACGGCAATGATGATGTTGAGCCTGATGCCAAAGATGATCTGATTGTCGACTCACGTCGCCGTCTTGAGCAGTACCCCCGGTGCCACAGCAAGAAGGAAGATAAAGAGTAACACATAAGAACTTCAAGAACGGCGGATGCGTGCCGCACGACCATATTGTAGACATGAATGGTGGTGGCGAAGATCAGAACAAGTGCTCTTAAAGTTCCAGGTAACAGTAGTTGAGTCACTAATCGTGACAACAGGTCCTTGTGTGTTACAGTTGTTGCGTATTCCCATTCAGGCCAACCAAAGCCTCAGCAAAGGGGGGTGCAGAGCCCACCGACAACGAAGCCACAGGGGCGGGGTGGGGAAGCAGGGGGGAAGGGTCGCACCAAAGGGGAGGATACTGTGGGGTGGGGGTCTGAGCAATGTGGCAGGCTTTGCTGCGGATGTTGGACCACTGGCGAGGCTCGAGGGCTGTTAGGGAGATTCGCAAGAGAGCGAAGGCCTGCTTTCGCAGCTGGAGGCCTCTTTCTGCTGAAGAATGGGACGCCTGGAGACAGCCGCGGCTTGAGTGGTCTCCTCGGAACAGTGCTTTCAAAGGGTGCGGAGGGTTTTCAAAGGGTGCAGGTTCTTCGGTAATTCGCCAGGCCGCCGGGCTTGGAATTGGCGGCGCCTGCGCGCGGGCCCCGAGCCCCGCCTCGGTGAAACTTCGCTCGCAGCCGCGAATTTCAGGCCTGCCCACGACGACGACGACGACGGCTTCTGGGGCGCGCTCCCGCTCGCTCCGCAGAGAGCAAGCCGGAACCTGAGCCTGCCTCGAATGCATGGGCCATGGGCTGCTCGTATCTTGCTGAGGCTTGGCGCCCGAGCGAGCTCCCGCTCATGTACAGGAGGAGCCATCCTGGGAACCGCCAGCAGGCAGTGGCCTTCCCTTGCCTTTCCTTGGCAGCAGGGCCTCTTATGATGTTGGCCAGGCGCAGCTCCCGTGCTGCCGCAAGAGACTCCGGTGCCGTACACTCCCGACCCCTCAGTCGATGGAGCCGGAGGCCTTCTGCTGGAGCCAAGACACCCAAGGGAAGCTCCAGACAAAGCGGGGCTCGGAAGGCATCCAGGGCGCTGGACGATGGCGGCGCAGCCGGAAGCCGGAAGTCTCAGGGCTGGGTCGAAGGGTTGAGGTGGCTCATGGAGGCGCTTTTGTGGAAGCACCAGATTTTGGTACGAAGCTTTAGGTCTTTAAGCTTTAGCAGCCTTTCGCAGGCCGCTCCAACAAGACATCAGGGGGCGCATGATCTTTGCATGGTGATGTGAAGCCTGTTCTATGTCTTTTGAATGGGGTTTCAGAGTGGGAGAGAAGAGGTTCTTCAAGGATGTTGAGCAATTGTCCTGCGGCGCTGAGCAGAGGATTCGGTTCCGGATGGTTCCTGTTCTGGTGGTAAGCAGAAGCCGCGGTCGTTGGAATGGCTCTCGGAACAAGGTGTTGCATCGGTGTTGAACAAGAGTCGCTAAGAGTCCTGGAACGGGGCTTCCTTCCGACAGCCTCTCAGATGGAAGTCCGGGAACACTCCTTACAACAGCGAGTCGCTAACCCCCCATGTCCAGTTCCGGAGCATCAGTGCACGGCACAAGACAGGCTGGCAAGCCCTCCGCGCTACAACTACACACCCTAAGGACCTGAGCGCTGAAAGCCCTAGCAGCCCTGACGCTTTCCAGCCGCTTTGTGTTTCTTCCATCCCCTTGTCGAGGCCCACGGATGCTAATGACGCCGCAGAGGGCCGAAGGCACTCGGTGTTCTGCTCTTCCACAACATTCACATACACATACACATACACACGTACACATACACATACACATACACACATACACATACACGTGCACATACACTTATTTTTTGTCTGTACATATTTTTCACACGCTGATGTATGCATGCGTGGATGGACGGATGGATGTATGTATGTGCGGGGACATGCGTACATGTAGCTTCCTTGCAGCCATCGGAAGATTTGTCCGAAGGCCGGCGGCTGAAGAATTTGGAGAGACGCGTGATGTGGTATGGGGCTACGAGCAGCAGCGACCTCAGCTTGCTTGGCAGCTGTGATACTTCTTCGGACATCCTCGATTTTACGCGGTGGTTGCTTGGGCTTCAGGGTTAGGGTTCGTGTTTTCAGGGTTTCGCCGCCCTGAAGTGGCTTCAAGCTGCTTGCCTTCCGAGATCCTCGGTTCCCGAGTTTTTGACACCTCGTGTCCATTTCCAGAGATGCCAGTGGTGACATGATCCTTAGGACCCGACCGGAACCACCGGCTGTCCCGCCGCCACCGCGGCCTGGAGGTGAGCCAGAGCTAATCGAACTAAGCAACGGATAAATTGGCGGGACTGCGTGGCATCACCTAAACCCTAAGAAGTAACCCCGAATGCTGCACAACAGGGTTGAGCTGGTCATATTTGTGGCTTCGGGCGGGCTCGGCAAAAGCACGGCCTTGCAGGTGGGAGATACAACACATTCGGTGTCCCCGCTTCGGTGCTGGATAAAGATTTGCCTTGATCTTATCATCCGACAGTCATGAAGCCAGCAAGCGAGCATCAAGGTGCGTGAGCCGAGAATCCCTTAGTCCTTGGCCCTGAGCTTTATCCGTGGCTGTCGGCAGTTACCGACCTGCACCAACCAGCCGACGATCAGCCGACGGAAGAGCCTGCCGACCACGCTGCCGAAACGAAGGCCTACGCACCATATAGGACCCTAAGCTCAAAGGCTGTGAAGGGAACTGGGAGCACTGTCGGCTTGAGCTGTCTGTCCGTGTCGTTGCCTGCAACTATGGGGGTTCTCGCTCCTCTTGGACCACTTTTGTCAGTGCTGAAGCATCAGGCGGAAGAGTCGGCAGGTTCCGAGCTCGAGGCACCAAACGAGTGTTGGAATTTGGAAGTGGTTCGGCAGTTTCGGGGCTTGTTCCCGTCGGCAGCTTTGCCAGTCATGCGAGTTGTTGCGTGCCACACGAAGGGGCGGGGGTCGTCTTGCACTGCACTAGCCTCCAATTTGTGAATCAACTGCGCATTCGTCTGATTGTTATCTTTTTTCCGTCGCTATCCATGAGTCATCCATGAGATTTGGTTATATTGTCTTGTGTTACATTATGACATTCTATGATATGATGTCATCTGCGTGTTTCTCAGGATCCGATTGAAGCTGGCCAGAGCCCCTTTTTCGAGCCACTGTCAGGGAGTTTCGAGCGGCTCAGACGCTGGTCAATGCATTGGTAAACCTCTGCTTCAGTCTTCAATACCGATCTCCGAGGTGATGCAGAGCCCAAGAAGGCCAAAAAGAAAAAGAAGAAAAAGAAGGCTGCAAAGACGGAAGACGCTTCACCCACGAAGGACCGACCTGCAAAGCGTCCCTCCGTGAATTCACATTTTCTTCATCTGGGGTTGCCTACATCTTGAGGCAATGACGGGACTTGCTCATGACTTTTGAAGGTCATTGCAGCCGTGCCGACTACTCCTGCCTGAACCTCAAGATGTCGCAACCTTCACGGCTGACGCTCTCACACGTGTAGCTTATACCCTCTCGCAGAGAATTGATCTCCGAAGTCCATACCCTAAACCCTAAGCCCTAAACCCTAAAACCCATGCCTGTGCAACACCATGAGGCTCTGGCGAACCTCTTCTCGAAAACGAAATTTTCCGGCCTGTCCGACGGTTCTGAGAGCGAGCAGGCACGTAGGAATTGTCGGGGGAAAAAAGGGCTTAACTGAGGCGGAGGTGGTGGCAGTTTGGGCAGTCCATGTTGTCCATGGTCGGTACTTCTGACTGTCAGCATGCCCACTGTCTCTTATGATTGCATGGGTGCATCCCCTTCCCTGTGCTTCCAAGCGATTCGCGAATGGAAGCTCTTTTTTGAGCCGTTTTGGGCGAGAAGAACATGACCCACCCCCCGCAGCCCCAAGTGCAGAAGTCAACCTGGAACCCAAAACCCTGAACCCCGAGCGCTAGGGGGCAGACGCCCGACCGAACTGTTTCGGCCGCAACAAAGACAACACAAAACCACCTGAAGTGACCCTAAACCCGAAACCCCTAAAGCCGTCTCCCAACCTGCTTCTCTGAATGCCAGGAGGTGGCGAAGGCCGGCGGCTTCGTGCAGTGACATACCTCTTCGTGCCCAAGCAGTTGATGTGGCCCCATATGGCCCCACAATGTGGCATACTGTGTTTGTATGTAAGAGTATATATAACATAACATATTACAGTATAACATACCACATTAGACTTTACTATGATAGACTATGACATGTTATGATGTATTATGATGTATCATAAACATATCGCTATACATCATGCTATATCGTGGTATATTGAGATATATCGTAGTACATTGTAGCATAAAAACAACACAACATAGCATAATATCGTATAGTCTAGCATAGTATAGTATAGCATGTATAGTAGAGTAGAGTAGCGTTGCGTATCGTGTAGTATAGTCTAGTGTAGTGAAATATAAAACAATACAGTATAATAGATTATAGCATAACATAATACCATGTTGTATCATATCGTATAGCAACATATCGTATCTTTCCATAAACCCTGATACCGCTCGAAGGCCAGCGCGAAAGCCGCGGCGAAGCCGAAGGCCAAGCCCAAGGCCAAGGAGCCCAACAAGGAGGTCTCGCTGGAAAAAGCCGCGGCCAAGGCCAAGGCACCACCGAAGGCGGCCTCGGCTCCTCCGAACGAGCCGGGTCACGGAGGATACCCGGCCCCGGCACCCGAACCCGTTCCAGGGCCAGCGCGTGAAGTCGGGAGCCCAGATGTTTCTAATGTTAATGTTGGAGTGTCAGCTCATATAGGTTCCTCAGAGCCGAGCCGAAGCAAGACATGTTGAGACACTTGCTTGGAACAGTCCGGTGCTTCAACAGGTAAGCGGAAGCACTTTCCCAACCATCCAGAGCCTGGGCTCGAAAACCGACAAAAGCCCGTGACGTTTCTTTCCCAAGCCCTGAGCTTTGCACACAGAAGCACTGCAGACCAGGTGAAGGTACCGGTGCCTTTGGCCGTGAAGCCCGGTCCCCGGGCTCGCGGACCTGGCGTTTGTTTGGCAAAAGTCATCGGAATGAGAGTCCCTTGCCCGAGAGGCCTTTGCCGACTGCGAAGATGAAGGCGCGGCGCGGGCAAGCTTCGTGACGCGCGCTCAAGAAAGGCATGATGATCCGGCTGCAGGCTCCGCCAGCTCCTGCGCCTCCGGCTGCCAAAGTAGCACCAAAGGCGAAAAGTTTCTGCGATTTGCGGAGCGTCTTCCCAAATGTTGGCTGAGAGGCCGTGCCACCTCCAGGTGTGGCCGTGAAGCTGCAGGCTTAGCCCACGAGATGGCTCCGGGGCACGAGTCAAGCTGCCGCCACACTTCCGACTTGGGGGGAATCAAGGAAAGACGCAAATGACAAATGATTAAACTTTCCATGTCCTTTGCCGGGGCGAAAAGGGGGTGCTGAAGAGTTCTCCACTTGAGGCCCTTGCCGACCCATCCACCAGCCAAGGCCGATCCTGAACGCTCTCAAGTGCCAAAGGAAAGATCCTGTCTCTTGCCATCATGTAGATCATATGATATTACATATCATAATATACCATAATATAGTATAATTAGTATTTTATCATATCAGAGAGTGAACATGAAACACCGGAAGGCCGTGGTGCCCAAGATGAAAGCAGCGGCAGTGCCCGTCAAGGCCCGCACCAGGAGGGATCAACGCCCGTCGTCGTCCGGGGTGGGTGATACGCACAGAGAAATGCATCCATCTAGATGGTGGGCATTCTATGACGAAGTTTAGCTAGTACTCGTAGTACTCATAGATAGAGTTGGTAGACCTGTCGTAATTTCCCAGTACAATAAGGCCATCAATCCACTTCCGCAGCCGCAGCCGCCTCGTCCGGCAAAGGCAGGTCCTACTGCATCTCTCGGGTTTAGTGTTGGGGTTTAGGGTTTAGGGAGTTTAGGCTTTGGAGAGTTTTAGGGTTTTTTTAGGGGGTTGCGGTTTTGGGTTTAGGGTTTCGGTTTAGAGTTTAGGGTGCAGGGTTTGCATGGCTTTCACAAGGGCTTTGTGAGGGTTATGTAGGGGTTTCCTAGTGTTTCGGGTTTGGGGCATAAGGTCCTAGGGTTTAGGCGCATCCGGGCTTCGGATCTTTCACGCAGTTGCAGTTTGTGGAAAGTAGAGCGGCCTTGGGGTGGCTTTGGGCATAGGGTCCAGTTCGCGAGAACTGATGGCAGCTGCTCGTAGCCGAGAACTCAATGAACTTCCATTATCTGACGGCCGTGATGCTGTCGATTTCTTCAGGTGTCTTCTTGTCGTGAATCTGGGTTTTGTGCAGCAGTGCAAAGCCGTCTGCTCGGTAGAGCCTTCAATTCAAGGCAGTTGTCACCAACGGCGGGCTGCAATACGCTTCTTGGCCTCAGTTCAAGACCATGCCATGACATGCTCATACATGCTCCTTCGCAGCGTGAACCGGTGGAACATGATGAGCCAGTGGCCCCCAACAGCTCTTGCCAGCGACCCCAAGCCCGAAAGTCTGCATGCCTAGAACTGGAAAACTTGAAACTCTAAACCGCCATAAACCTCTAAGCCCCTGAGCAACGATGCCCTGAACCTGGTCTCGCCTAAACTCAAAACATATTGTGCCAAAGCGCACAACAAACCTAACAACCCCTGTGAAGCCCTTGTAGAACCCTCATAGGCCTTTTGGTGATGCTCTGAAGCCGAAAACCAAAAACCGCAATTAAACGCCAAACCCAAAACTCTAAACCCCTGAAGCCCGAAACACAAAGACACTAGGCCCCAAAATCCCCTAAAATCCCCGACCTAAATCTAAACCTCCGAAGGTTCTGTGAACCCCCCTTTTGTTTCAAAGGAGCCCTTCACGGAATCCTCAAAGGAGTCCCTACCGGAAATTTTGAAAGAGGAGTCCCTGGAAGGAGCTCTGGGAAAAACCAATAAAGGAACACTTCAAGCCTTTAAGGAATCCTGAAGTGAACCCTCAAAGGAACCCTGCAAGGGAATCCTTACAGGAACAAAGGAAATCCAAAAGACGCCCCAAAGGACTCGTAACATGGAAGCCTGAATCATGACCAATGCCGTTCCTTCGGGTTCCCTCTGTGCTCTTTTCGATATAAGATACCGCAAAACCTGTTCTACTCATTGAGCCCAATTAAAACTCTAAACCTAAGCCCTAAACCCTAAACCCTAAACCCTAAACTTAAAAAAGAACCTAAGCCCTATAAGAACCCTTTGAGGGAGCTGGGTCCAAGGCAGCCTCGACCGGCAGTGCGAGCCTGCGGTACATGGAGCGCCCCGTGGAGAAGCTGCCTGTCCCCCCAGCGGAAAGTGTGGGGTTTTGGGGGCTTTTTGGGATTTAGGGTCTAGGGTGTTGGGACTTTTGGGATTTAGAGGATTGGGTGTGTTTAGCGATTTTAGGGTCTGGGGCTTTAGGGTTTTAGGGCTAACGGTTCGGGGATTTTAGGACTCGCCTTGCTTTTGAGCGACTCGCAACCAGCCACAGCAGGGTAGGGCTGAGAACAAAGACAATATACAGATCCATATAGCTTTGCGATCGGGATACCCCTGAATTGAGGGTCTGGGAACACCCACCTGAAGCCCTAAACCCTAAACCGTACCAGCCTGCCTGATTAGGCTCTCCGACTTCTTGCAAGACGGAAAAAGGCCCTCAAAAGAAAAGATGAGGCCGGCGAAAGCCTACTACGAGGAGGAGGAGGACCCAGAGCTGCAGCCGCATCCTGAGATTGATTTGGATTATGGGCTTTTTCTCTGATCTTGTAGACAGTATTGTGTTATATTGCAATATGCTATACTATAAGGGCTTTTAGTATGTTGCGTTATAGACAGTCATATCAAATGGTCTTGTATTGTATTGTCTTTTTCCGTGGCGCAGTGTACTGTAATGAATTTATCGCGTAATGTAATGCAATGTAATCTAATGTATTGCATTGCATTGTCTCATCTTGTAGCTATATCGTACTGACTCTCAATGCCCATACAAGGAGGCATCGGAGGACATTCTTCTCGGCAATAGTTCCATGGACCAGAAATCAAGCGAAGCACGATTCTTCGAGGAGACGAGTGTATCCCACACCTGGAGAGCAGTCCCACAAGACTCCAAAATCCCTGAACTAAGGAATATGCGTAGGCGTAAATCATACTATGCATCGCTGATTGCTTGAAGGTAAAGCGGCCTAGATTGCCTAGATTAGGAAACGCAGACCTTGAGCGCTTCTCTCTGCAAGTTGTGTCAGTATTGGTTTCAAGCACATTTCAAGCCGTTTAGCACCTCCAACCTCTTGACTTGACTGTTGTTGGTGCGACGCAGTAAATCTCAAGAACCGGCACATGGAGGATGGAGCTTAAACAATCATCCCGATGCGGCTGTTGAGTTGAGGTGCTATATATGGGACCGAAGGACCCAACAGCCGCGACAGCGGGGCATCCAGTTCGCTACAGGCAAAAGGGTTACACGCAAGCAGGTTGTGGATTGTTGTACTGGTGAGCGAGCCCCGTTTGACAATTCGTACGGTTCATTGTTTCGAGCGGGATCGAACCACTGGGCTGTCATGTAGATACTTGCTCGCTTTCTTGTTCCCGGGCTATGGGTGTCCTTACCAAATAGACGAGGGTTCGGGGCTACCCCCCAAACCCTGAGCCCCAATCCCCAAAGCCCCAAAGCACTAAAACCCCCAAAACCCTGAAATCCCAAACCCCAACACTCGAACCTTCCTCTTCAGGGTCCCCCCAACATCGGCCCAGAGATGTGCCACTACGCCAGGCCCGACGGCTCCCAAGGCGGTGCCGCCCCAGCGCCAACGCAGCCTCCTGAATCAGGCACCTTCTCGAATGTGTAAATGTGGTTAAAAACAGAACATCGAATGATAGAACATGGTATAGTACTTTTGTTGCTGTGTAGCATTATTTGATTCATCACGGTGTATATTGTATTTTTTGTTGTGTATTGAATTATATCACATTGTATTACAGTATGTCATAGTATACTATATTCCAGTATGTTATATTATCTTTTATGCCGCTAGATGGTACTTGATGGTATCACATTGCATTGTATTACACTGTGTTGTATTACATGATAATGTACCGTCTTATACTGTACTGTTGTGCTTTATTATGTATTCTGCTACACTATATTGTATGTATACGATGTTACATGACATGATGATATGATACTATTCTTTATGATGTGATATGACATGTATGATATGACATGATATGATATGGCTTGACATATATACCACCGTACTGTCTTGTATTGTATTGTACTGTACTGTATTGTATTGTATGGTATTGTAATTGTATTATAAGTATAGTATTGTATTGTATGGTACTTCATAGTATAGTAAAATTTATTCTATTCTGTTCTGTTCCGTTCGGTTGCCTTATGCTACATGGTATAACAGAATAATATATCATATCATCGCATACTCTCTTCTGCTCTGCTCCAGTCTACTCTTCCCCCTAGTATTATGTACCAAGCTATATAACACTGTGTGGATAGGAGCTAATCTTTGTGGCGGGCCCTCAACATCTTTTTGTTCATGGCTCTGTGTATGATTTGTTTGAAAACCTGGATGTTGGAGCATACTTGGAGATGCGATTTCCACTTCTTGAGGAGATGCCTGCAACCGAAGCTTGCACGATCCTGCATGTAACCTTTGAGGGTGGTTTGATGTGAGGTGTCGCGTTTCGTGTTTGTTCGTTCAGCCCTCCGCTCAGCCTGCGCTATGAGGTTGTCTGGAGTTGTCGGTGGTTTGCTGAATAGTGAATAGAGTATAGCCTTATACGACACATATGATGTAAAGTAATGTAATGAACTGTATTATAGTAACAGAGGTGATCGAGATGGGCTTCGACGAGGCAACCGCGAACCGTGCGCTGACGAAGACAGGCAGGGCCCCAATCTCCCAAAATGTGAACAAGTATGTAAAATATCACGACATAACCCCAAGGCCGCAAACCCAGACCATTCCATCCCCACCTCACCGCCTCAGTGGCAGCCTGTCGGCTCCGGTAGTGAAGCTTGCAGGAGTGTCCATGTCAGCCAAGGCAGATGGCTCCAGGGCCTTGGGAGCCTCGAAAAGTTAGAAGGAATCGTCTCGTCTTGATGGCTTCGCAAGCGCAAGGGATGCGGCCGCGGCCATCGGCACTCGCAAGCAAGAACAGCGAAACCTTGAACCTGCAAGGGAGTCGTGTGATCATGCGATGTGGGAAGTATTCAGTGGGGTTCACTCCATCCTGGCCAGGTTGGGTTGGAGTGCAGGAGGCCATGAACGTCCTCCTTGGGGCATGAGAGGCCCTTCAACTCTGCGTTGTTTGGGGATCTGTTCGCTGACAGTATCTGCTGCTTGGTCAGATCCGGCCTGCCCCTCCGTGTCCACGCAAGTCTTGGGATAATGCACAACGCCGAACGCACAGCGCTGGGTTCTTCAAATTGCCTTGGCAGCATGGGACGAAGATACCGAAAATATCAACATGTAATGACGGCCCAACCGCACTGGCAATAACCGTGCCCTTTCAAGCAGAAGCAATTCAGAGCTTCGATGTGTGTCAGGCGCTTGCGGCCTCTCAATGAGGTGCAAGAAGGATTCTACTGCACTCAGCAACGCAACACGAGCCTAGAATCTCAGAAATTCTGGATTCGTAGGTGGCAGAGCACTGTGGAGTTCGGACAGGGGGTGGATCGTCAGATCTGTCGTTTAAGCTTTGGAGGAGTGTGGATAATTGTCTGCGAGGGTCCACCCCGTGAAAAACTCCAGGAGCTAGTGACTGGATCACAAGCTCGCCTTCACTCCTTTCCACCAATGGTAGGGCAGAGGGCCGCTTAGCCCGGTGGTGCTCGGGACATCCGCTGATCTCCCGATAGCGCGGAGAGATTCGAAGCATTCCGATAGAGGGTTGGTCAAAACTGACCGGCATCGCACGAATATGAGAGACGATGACATTGCCAATGGCACCACAAATGGCATCAGTAAAGACTGTGCAGCTAGTACGAAAAGGGATGATAGTCGTCGTTGCTGTCGTCACCAACCCCAGTAGCACTGCCAGTCATCGTCGTTGTATGCAGCGAGGTGTCCTGATGCTGCCGGTGCAGAACCTTTTGCAATTCTGGGGGGCTTCTCGAAATGTGGGGATACAAGATGTTGGGCGCAGACCGCAGTGGGGATGATGTGCACCATAGAGTTTTTGAGAAGCCATTGTGCCAGCCTTGCTCTTGCAATTTTCGCCTACATCTGGCAAGGGTAGACAGACGCAAGAGCATCTGGCTCGCAGAAATGGACAGACGAGAAGACGAAACTGAACATGCCTTGTTGGGAACTGAGAGGGTGAGGGTTCAAGCAGACAAGGCCTCGGTTTATTGGACCAGGCTTCAGGCAGGGATCCGGAGGAAGAGAAGTCAAGAAGACGCTCGGTCTCCCCGGCACTTTTTAGCCTTTCGCCGCCGCTCGGCCGCTCGCGTTTACTGCGCTCAGCTTGCCAGCTTGGGACTGAAACCTTGGCCCCCCAAAGCGTTCTCCCAGCCAGAGCCATGCCAGTGAGGCGGTATACCTCTACAAGCGCCGGACACACTTCACGTGAGTAGGCACCCCCCCCGCACGTGCTCTCTCTTCACTCAGAGTCTTATGGCCTGCTGCGATGACTGCGGCGCCGCTCCCATCCGAGGACTCCGGTCCGGGTCTTGCGGTTGCAGCGCGTCTCCGTGAAACTCTGAGGAGCACGACTCGGAGCATGAGGGAAGCGTCGAGGCTCCGAGCGGATCCGAGCGGGGCCATGGCATCATGGGGTTTGTTCTGCAGTCTGAAGCTCCGACTGAGGAGATGAGGGAAGCTGCAAAGAAAGCTGACGCTGAGGAGAAGGAGAAAATGGAGGACGAGGAGATGACAAGCCGTCCTTCTTCGCCTGAGCAAGAGGTGGAGGAGCCCTCTCAGGTTGTAGAGCCCGAAGTCCCAGAGGAGGGACACGAGGAGGAACAGGACGTCTCGGACTTGCCGGGAGTGTCTCCGACCGAGCACCGGCACAACCACGAAGAGCAGGAAGGGCAGGAAGAGCAGGAGGATGCAGTTGAGGATGCAGTTGAGGAGGCAGAGGAGGAGGCAGAAGAGGAAGTTGAGGAAGCGGAGGACCATGTGGATGCGCCACATGACGGTGATCACGAGGAAGCAGAGGCCGAAGTACCTGAGCAGGCGATGCTGGCGGAAGGCGATGAGGGTGATGCTCCTGCCGTAGATCATCAAGAGGATGAAGTAGCAGAGGAGGACGCAGAAGAGGAAGAAGAGGAAGTTGAAGCTGAGGAATATGTTGAGGACGACGCTCCAGGCGCGCACGGTGATGATACCCCGCCACAGACTCCTCTTCATGCTAGAAGCTGCAGGCAGTCTCGCCTTAATTATATAGGTGATGCTGGAGTACTCTTTCTGTCAGATTTGCCGCGACGTTTCGAAAAGGGAATCCCCAGCCCTCAAGATGCATCACCGAAACAGCAATCGTCCCGCCACGTTGGACCCAGCAGCCCCCCAGTTACCGGACTCAGCACTGGCAGTTGTCTGGTGTTTTCCTTTGCTTTTCAACGTTGCTCTGAGGAGGTCAGGAGGAGGCCCAGCCCTTGGCGGGAGGGGGCGGGAGGGATTGTTGGGCCTAGGAGGCTTGAGGCGCTCTGGCAGCACAGGAAGCAGGAAGGAGGCGAGAGAGAGAGAGAGAGAGCTTTCAGGCTGAATCATGGCCTGCCCTGCCGTCTTCCAGGACGGGAGAGACGCCACTGAAGATGTGTAGTGGGTTCTGGATCCAACAGCGCCACGCACTTGCAAGAGGATGATTTTTCTGCTGAGAGGCCGGCAGCCCCACGTCGCTGGACAGGCCGTGCAGCGCAGGACTGTCTCAGAATGTTGTTGTGTTGCTTTCCGCACACAGGCCAGGCAGCCTGCGACTTGCAGTAGCCTTCGCAGCAAACCTACTAACAGTCAAAAAGAGCAGTCGTACTCGTAGCAGGAGTTGCAGTAGTGACAGAGTTTAAGCATGCAGAGGACGGTAGTGGCTAGAGTTACAATCGCAGTGTTAGCCAGTCTTAGCCGCAGGCTTCATGCCTGCAATGGTTGTGGGTTGTTGTGATCTCACGACCTCAGGGGCATACTGCCCTGTGACCACGAAGTTCAAAAAGCAGGCGAGCATCACTTTCAGTTTCCTGTTGTTTTGTGCTTTGTTCGAAGAGTTGTTTTTGGGAGAAGTGCCGGATGTCTCAAGGGCGAGTGAGGGTTGCGGCCTTGCATTGGCAGGAGCCAGTTTTGGACACGAATGAAGACGAAGAGGAGGAGGAGGAGGAGGAGATGGAAGAGGAGGAGTGGTACGATGAGGAGATGGAGGAGGAAGTGGAAAATCTGAGGATGCAGATGAGGCCACCGGAGATCCTTGATATCTGCCTTCCGGGGAGGTTTCATCTGCTTTATAGGCTTTGATGCTTGCTGGGATGCCATCAGGCAGATGGAAGAGGAGAACGAGAGTCTCCAAGACGAGCTGAGCCAGGAGAAGACCAGGGTCTGGTGCCAAGTTTCCCGAGAGCTGCCCTTTTTGGAGATTCATTTGCCTTGCTTCTCCTAGCTCTGCCCGTTTCATGAAGCGGACCATCCCAACAGAACCTCGCAAATTCTTTATATCAAGAAGGCACCACCTTTCCCAGGTGAAGCAGCTTCAGAAGCTGCAAGTCGAAGCTGCTCAGGCCACTGTGAAGGATTCTGCATCCCCCCCCTGTGCCAAATCGCGGAAGACCCGTCGGGGGCACTTTCAGTCGGGTAACCAATCCATGGCTGCTGCTTATAGTTATTCTTACCACAATTGTTATTACTGTGAGCATTGCTTTCATCCATGCAGCTTTCAGTAGCCCCTGCCAGGCAGCTCACCGAGAGTTCGAGGCCAAGAAACGTGAGGCAGGAACCGTGGTGTCTCAGGTGAGCGCGCCGGGATACTATAGAGGTAATATAGCATTTCTATGGCCCCATATAAACGTATGTTATATTACTTCTTACCACAGCTGACATTTGCCAAAGAGCTTTGCAGGCTGCAGCACTGCGCGAGCTCGAAGAAGCGAAAGCGTACGTCTCCAAAAGGCCCACGGACAGCAGTGGAGCAAGCCTCGGATGTTCCACACCATTCATTGGAACCGTGAACTTCCAGAAGTTTCTATTTCCGCTCGCAGCTGCTCCGTTTCGGCCCACGCTAGATTCGCGTGGAAGGCACACCTTCGCCTTGAACGACAAAGCCGAGCTGCTGAAGCCTCAGCGCTCCCTTTTTTTTGCCTCCTCTACATCCTAAATGGCATTTCGGACGGCATGGCTGACTGGAAAAGGCTGCTCAGCAAAAAGCCCAGACCTAAGATTCAGATTCTCAGGATGAAGAAGGTCGCAGATCTCGAGCGAAAGCTGCCTCGAGCCCAGCTTCCACCAGCCAGGGATCTCAGCAAAAGAAGCATAGTCGTAGTAAGATTTGTAGCTGTATGAACTAAACAGAAATGGTACCAATCCTCAATTAGATCAGAATGCGACGAGGACGAGACTGCTCCTGTTACTCCTGCTGCTACTGCCGCCGAAGGCTGCTAGTACTAGAATACGACAGCGACTACTGCCGTTGCGACTAGTACTACTACGACTAAGACGACGACGACTGCTATACTCCTACCACCTCGACTACTACTACTACTACTACTACTACTACTCCTACTCCAACTGTTACTACTAGTACTCCCACTGCTACCGCTACTGCTTACAGTCCTACAAGCTCCAACCTGACATATTCAATCCCAGTTTTACCCTAGGACCTGAAAGCGCAGAGCTCTCGACACCCAAAACCAGGAAAAGAAGCCACCCTAAACCCAACAGCCAGGCAGGAGGCTGCCGACCGCGAGTTAGCCTTGCGCCTGGAGGTCCAGGCGCTCTCTTCCGACCACGTGGGGTTTATTGGGGGTTGTTGGATTTTAGGTTTCATGCTCTAGAACACGCCCTCGCAAATCCCCCGCTTCGGAGGCTTTGCTCACAGGCTACCCAAAGCCAAAAGCCCGTAGTCGGAGATCCTAAACTGACAGAAGCCTCGCCGTTTCCCCTTGTTTGGGCCGTTGCCTCAACTCTGACCCACTGCTGCCAGGAAGCGGTACAAGCTCAAAGCTCCAGCAGCACGCAGCAGGAGCTCCGACATGGTGGCGGAGGGAGGTGAACGTCGGTCGACCTGGTAGGTGATAGTAGAAAGAAGGTGTCCCTAAACCGGGCCCCTACATGGAGCATGATGCTGGCAGCCAGAAGCACGTCGCCGCGCGCTGAGGAGGACTTCCACAAGGAAGCTGAACGCTGGCGGAAGGAGAGACACTCTGGGCTTCTGCAGGGTTGAAAGGATCTCCAAGGTTTGGGGACTCAACAGGTCCAAGTCTATGCTGAGCTTAGGGTTTAGGGTTTTAGGGTTCGGAAGGGATCGCGAAGGTCGGTTGTGGCCTTGAGCTCCCTTGGCCCCAGCGGAGGATGCTGCCGAACAGGCCACGAGGGTGAAGGCTGCTGAGCAGCGAGCGCAGCAGTGGGAGCCCAAACCTGGAAATCTGTTTTTTTTTTCTTCTTGTGGTTTCGGGTTTAGGGCAGTTTAAGGCCTAAAGGGACTACAGGTAATTGGCCACACTCTCGGTGAATGCCTTCAGATACTTCTCAGGCTCGAGCAGCGAAAGACGGAGGACAAGGCAAAAATCAAGGCGCACCGGCTTGCTAGGTGCTTTGAGATGGATGTCAGGCCAGGCCAGGGTGTCTTTCGCTTTTAGGGCATCGGGAGGCAGAGAGGATCCCAGAAAAGCTTGGCCGGGCCAGGCCTTGGCAGATCAGCTCAAATTGGCTACAGCCTGACACTCAGCGCCTGTAGACTGAAAGCATTCAGTCATAAGGGGTCCGGGAAGGAAGTGATGGGGAGACCGAAGTGACTCCATGTTTGATGGCTGAGGCTTCCCGTGCTTATAGTAGTCCTCGCGTCTGTCTTTCTGAAGCTCGCAAGCGTTGGGCGTAAACCTGGCAACTGGAGCCCCTGAGACGCATGAGGCCGCGGGGTTTGTGGCGGAGGCCAATCCCGATGAGAAGAGGCCGGCTAATTCCGGCTACATAACTTGAAGACCGCCGAATCGCAGCCTGATATGAAGCCGTAGATACAAAAAGCCCTGAGCCGCTTTCAGTCGTCGTGAAGGGAAGTACTCTTGTTATTGCTGTTATTATTATTGTTATTATTATTAGTATTATTATTATTATTAGTATTAGTATTATTATTATTGTTAGTCTTATTATCGTTGTTATTCTCATTGATATGATTATTATCAAAGCTTTTTCTTATTATCATGATTATTTTCATAAGTCTTGTTATTACCATTACGACAGTTCTTTTCCACATTTCCTCAGCGCTTCGCTTGAGGCCGCAGGATAGCTCCAAGTCGAAGGTGCCCTTTTTGGGAGAAGCTCTTGGCAACAAAAAAGCAGGGGCTCTTAATGGGTTTAGGATTTGGGGTTTAGGGGTTTATGGTACCCTTAAAGAACCTTTATGGTACCCTTGAAGGAACAGTAACAGGTTTAGGTCTAAGATTCAGTTTTTGGGTTTGAAGCCTGTTGGGTTCGGAAGAAGGAAGTGGATGGGCAGTACAGTTCGGTGTTTGAAGGGCGTCTTTTTTGTGATTGACGGCTCGGCATCGCAAATTCCGGCTTCTGTTGTTTAAGACGAAGAAGAAGATGATGATGATGCTGGTCATGATGGTGGCATTGATGCTGGTGATGACTGTAGTGGTGACGATGATAGCGATGATGACGATCCTTATGATGCCATGGTGACGATGGTGATGATGATGATCGTGGTGGTGACAGGGGTGATAACGATAACGGAGACGACTGCCATGTTGTCGCTGTTGTTGATGATGTTGATGGTGGTGGTGATGATGATGGTGGTGGTGATGATTATGATTGTGATAGCGGTGGTGGTGACGATGTCGATGACCACAATGGTGAGACCGCAAGATGATGGCACGGATGAAGGCTGTCGTCCGGGATAAGAGGCAGGGAGCTGTTAGTGCAAAGATTTCCAGCCACCTCAACTCTACGGCAGGCAACCCGAAATGAAGAGCCCAAAAGCCTGAACCTGCCCAGACTCTCAAGCCTCAGCCGCGAACGGATGTTTGGGTTGTCTGTGAGGCTCCTGGGGCTCCGGTAGCGGTCCGGAGCTCTGAGTTTTTGTGTTTTTTTCTGTTTCCCGGCTCTTTGGAGAATCATGGATGTGGGTGATTCCGGTGCGGGCGAGCGCGAAAGAACCTTCCCCGGCAGCGGCGTTTCCTCCAGGCCTAAACGTTAACAGCATACATAGTCTTTCGGTGTTTTGGGACACTTTGCTGGAGTCGTGCCCGAAGCAAGCAGCTCTTGAGAAAAGGCCAGGTTTGTCCTGAGTCCTGCACCCTACAACTCGGGATGTCCGCCCAGGCTTTGACGCCCTGCAATCCCGCAAGCTTTGTTCTCTGAGGCTGCGAAGGTGACTTCTTCGAAGGGGCCCAAGCCCCAGCAGGCAGACGAGGGGTATCCGGGTATCACCATGCACCGACAACGAGGATGGAAGCGATTATAAGACATGTGCAGCTACGGCTGTTAAGCATCTCGTGTCGTAGTTCCAAGAGCAATGACAAGAATATCAACAGCACCCGTCGCAGTACTGAAGCACGAGCGCTTGGTAAACCTGCTGTGAATACATGGTTACAAAGCTTGTGGTTCCAGGCGTATTAGCAATGACAGCGCCAGCTGTCAACGAAATGAGAACCAGGAGCCTAGGCTCCGAACGGAGTCGATCTGAGCTCGACGGAGGAAAGCCATAAACTGCCCATCCACAGCCAAAGCGGGCTACAAGATCTGAGTGGAGTCGGGGAATGTATCTTCTCTTTGTTTTTTCGAATTTCTGGGAGAAGGGGGGGAGCATTCCGGAGCCCAGGCCTAACGGACGAGGCATCGTCAACAAGCCCCTGGAGCCGCGGAAGCCTGCTGTCCCGAGTTCGGGACCCTGAATGGAAGACATGCCCAATTGCACTGTTCCGGCAGAGCATGTTGCAGCTCGTGGTTCGTGAGGTGATCTCCACAGTCCGAGAAAGTTCCGCTTTTCCGATGCATCAGACGGACGAACCTTCGTGCCATAGGACTCTCAGTCACGGTTCCTCGTGCACTTGGAACTACGATTACTATACCACGCCAGCCAGAGTCAACATGACGAGGAGATCAGCATCACCTGTTCCGTCTGGCTTCCCCAGAACATCCACAGCCCAAACGTATGCTGAGCCCTCTGCAAACCAATCGCGGGTTCTTCCTATAACCCACGGAGTCTTCTTTTTCCCTCGAAGGTCGGCCCTGGTACAGGCCATCTGCATCTCTCTGGTTGATCTGGCATTGGATTACGCTGCCGTCATGGTAATTTTGCTGTCGGTGGGGCAACGGACATGATGCTGCTTCCGGTGATGATTGTTCTGGTGATGATGATGCTGGCGTCGGCGATGACATCACGGTACACGTGCCATGGCTGGTGCCATGATTAGCACTGTTACTGCTCGCAGGTCTATTGCTGTGGTGACGATGGTAATGGCCGTTTCGATTGCCTTGCATGACTGCTGGTACCTTTAAATTGCTGATTGAGTCATTGTGCTGCAATTATTCTCGCTCGCAGTCGTGCCAGTGTGGTTGGTATCGCCATGTCACCATGACTGTAAAACAACATTATTGCCATGTAGTGTGATTGTTCACGTGGTAGCAGGACAGCGATTGGCACCACCACCACGCTACTCCTGTTCCTACTACCCCTCCTGCTACCCCTCCTCCTCCTCCTCCTCCTCCTCTTCCTCCTCACGACCACGACCACGACCACGACCACGACTACCACCACAACTACTACTTGACAGCTCGCCTTCGGGCAGCCCTCGTGTAAGCTTTGCAAGGCGGTTTGCTGGCTTCTGCGGCCGACAGATTTCCTGGGCCGTGGAGGACCGGGATCCCGTAAATGAGCTTTCAGGATTAAGGGGTTTAGGGGGCTCGGGGGGTTTAGGAGATATAGGACTTAGGGGGTTTGGTGGGGTTAGGATTTAGGGGGTTCCGGGGGTTCAGAGCTAAAACCTCGTCTTGGAGGTTAAGGGTAAGCGTACTTAGTCTGTTGACTGTTGACTGTGGTGATTGTACTTTACTGGCCTTTGCACCATCCTTGCAGTCTTCAGCTGGTCGAGAATCTCTGAACTGTCGCTCCACCCAGTTGG